TAAGACTATATATTCTTGGCAACAAGAATTCTTCTAGTTTGCTTTTGGGAATATAAATTGGTACAACCACTTTGGAAAACAATATGGCAGTATCTAATAAAGTTTAAGATTTGCACGTACTGTGACTTAGCACTTTCATTCTTAAGAATATACTCCTGAAAAACCCTTGCGTTGTCTACAGGAATGTTGCATGTATAAGAATGTTGATAGAAACATCTTAAAAAATAGTAAAACCTTGGGGGAAAAAACTGGATGTTCATCAGAATATGTTGAATCCGTACAGTGAGTTTTACCATTCAGCAAAATGGCAAAACTGTACACAACTGGATGTACCTCACAATATAATATTAAGCCAAAGAAACAAAATAAAAGAAATATGTACGGTAGCATATGTTTGTCAGAACTTATCCAACTGTAAATGTAAGACCTGTGAATTTTCTGTATATGAATTACATCTCAAGAAAATATTCATACAGTGTAATTCCCATTATGTCAAGTTTAAAGCAGAATAAACATGAATTGTTAATGGATGCATACATACGGGGTGAACGTAATCGAGGCATCATGATTAAATATTGAACCTTTGAAAAGAAAGGGTGTGGGATGGACAGAATGAATTACACATCCATGAATAATAATTTTTCTTTTAAATATCTGAGGCAAGGGGGCCTGAGTGGCTCAATTTGTTAAGTGCCTGACTCTTGATTTCAGCTTAGGTCATATCTCAGGGTCTTGAGATCAAGCCCCATGTTGGGCTCCATGCTTAGCATGGAATCTGCTGGGGATTCTCTCTCTCTCCTCTCCCTCCGCCCCTTCCCCCACTCACACCCTCTCTCTCTGAAATAAATAAACTAAAATCTAAAAAATAAATACCTGAATCAAATATGGCAAAATTTATTAAAGCTGGGTCATGGGTAGACCAGTTCAGTATATTCTTTTGTGTGTTTGGAACACTTTATAGTTTATAAGAATTTTTTTTCTTTTTTGTTTCAAAGGTTTTGTTTATTTGACAGAGAGAGAGAGAGTACAAGTAGGGGGAGAAGAAGGCTCCTCGCTGAGCAGGGAGTCCAATGTGGGGCTCAGTCCCATGACCCTGGGATTGTGGCCTGAGCCAAAGGCAGATGATTAACTGACTGAGCCACCCAGGCACCCCTGTTTATGAAAATTTTTAAGAACAACTTCACTGGGATACAGTCCATATCCTGTATACAATTTAGGCATTGAAAGTATATAATTCAAAGGTTTTTTGTATAGAGTTGTATGGCCATCACCACAGTCAGTTTCAGAACATTTTCCTTTTTTTTTTTTTTTTTAAGATTTTATTTATTTATTTGAGAGAGAGAGAGCATGAGCCAGAGGGGGCAGAGGGAGAGGGAAGAAACAGGCTCCCAGCTGAGCAGGGAGCCCGATTTAGGGTTCGATCCCAGGACCATGAGATCATACTGAGCCAAAGGCAGACGCTTAACTGACTGAACCACTTGGGCGCACAGTTTCAGAACATTTTCATCACCATTAGAAGAAACATAATAGTCACTCATTTCCTTTTAACTCCCACAGGCCTAGGCAACCATAGTCTACTTTTATCTTCTGTGGATTTGCCTGTTCTGCACATGTCCTGTAAATTGAATCCTATAACATGTAGTTGTTTTTACCTAGCTTTTTCACTTAATATGTCTTCAAGATTCATTCATGTTGTAGCATATATCAGTACTTCATTTCTTTTTATTGCCAAATAATAATGCCAGTGTATGGATATACTACATCTTGTTTATCAGTTCGTTGTCATTTGAATTGTTTCCACTTTTTGACTACTAAGAATAATGCTGTTGTGAACATTCATATACAAGTTTGTATTTGAATGTATGTTTTTATTACTCTTCATGTATACCTAAACATAGAATTGCTGGTCCTGTGGTAACTCTGTTTAACCTTTTCAGGAACTGCCATACCCTTTTAAAGCAGGTACACAGTTTTACATTTCCACCAGCAGTGTATTACTTACGAAATTGTAAATTAAATATCTGCAGTTCTTTATCCAATTAAATAGACATGTACTGGGTATATGCCATTATATGTGAGGCTCTGTGTTGTATGTACTGAATGGTAAGCAAAAATGTCAGCCAAACAGTAATTGTGAGCCATACGGCGACTATCACATATGCAGTAACTTTGTGTAGTGTAATTGTTATATAAACAAAGTACAAGGAGGGAATGATTAGTCCTGAGTATTGAAAATCTGGAAAACTTCTCTGAGAAGTTCTCCTTTGGGGGCGCCTGGCTGGCTCAGTCAGTAGAGCATGCGACTCTTGATCTTGGGGGTTGTGAGTTCGAACCCCATGTTGGGTATAGAGATTATTTTTTTTTTTAAAGATTTTATTTATTTAATAGAGAGAGAGACAGAGAGAGAGGGAACACAAGCAGGGGGAGTGGGAAAGGGGGAAGCAGGCTTCCTGCCGAGCAGGGAGCCCGATGCGGGGCTTGATCACAGGACCCTGGGATCATGACCTGAGCCGAAGGCAGTCGCTTAACCAACTGAGCCACCCAGGCACCCCGGGTATAGAGATTATTTTTAAAAAATAGAATCTTTAAAAGAAAAAGTTCATCTTGAATGTTTGAAGTCACCTTTTGTATTAAGAATTTTTAATGATAAAGACCAATACTTTAAATAGGTGAAAAAATAGTTTCAAATGTTTTAAATGGTATAATCTCAACTATATTATAAAGGTAGAAAATGTAAGACACACACTGAATTATTAACGGCAGTAGTAGGTGGAATTATGGGTGACTTTTTCTTCTGTAGCCTTCACATTTCTACCAGAGGCATTGTTATACTTTTGTATTCAGGAAAAAAAGTATTAAAAATAGTAAAATTTGGGGCATCTGGCTGGCTTAGTAGAACGTGTAGCTCCTGATCTCGGGGTCATGAGTTTGAGCCCCACATTAGGAGTAGGGCTTACTTAAAAAAAAAAAAGATAAAATAATAATTAAATTCTCATAGACTTAAGTCTCGCATCGTGTGATAGAAATTATGGTTTTAAAAAAAAGTATTCTTTATAATTACCTCGTTCTTTATTTTTTTTAAGTTTCATGCAGAAATTTATTTTGACCATGACTTACAAAGTTATGTCCTTGTGGATCAAGGTAGTCAAAATGGTACAATTGTTAATGGAAAACAGATTCTTCAGGTGAGTGTATATATATTAATTCCTTGCACATAAGTCTTAAAAAATGAACTGAAATTTTTATTCTGAAGGCCGTAGTTACTATACATATAATTTGTTTCAGATTACTATTCAAGCCCAAATGTATTACATGGAAGGGGATTCACAGAAAGGACTGAAAAAAGTATAGAATAAGTGGATACTTAACTCTTGAGTTTTGTCTTCTAATTATATATCTATGCCTTATTTTAGAAGTGAATGCATTTTAAAGCTATTCAAAGTAAAGGTTCTTACAGTAACTTAAAAGGCACTCCTTTTTTTGTGTTTTTTTTAAAAATTGTTTTAATGGAAATGTTGCTAAAGTGGATACTCCTTGAAGACAGAGCCTATGTCTATCCAGTTAACTCTTTTATCACCAACATTTGGCAAGGTGCTTGGCACATAACATATGGAAGAAAGTAAATGGAAGGGAGTGGGGGAGGCCTTATTCTTAGTCTGTAAGAATAAAAAATGAAATAAAACTGAATTATCAGAGAAAAGAAGAGGAAAAAAGGGAAATATGCACTTAGCCCCTTAACACTTTGTCTTTTTGACTGTGATGGTTATTCATTTTGGTAATAGATTGTTTGATGTTTGGATTGGGTATTTCTCTGGGATTACGCATGGAGATGAGATTAGCGGGTTTTGATAATATAAAAGAAGTTGCTCAGTTCAGGTATCTTCTCCACTAGTTGAACATTATATCATCCTCAAGTTGTGGAAATGTGTGCTGTGTGTGCATATGTGTGTCTATCTCATTGAGAACCATCCTAAATATTTTTTTGTTTTAATCAGACACTACTTACAGTAGATATAAAATAATCTTACATAACTCTCTTGGGTTTCTGTTTTGTAATTTTTTTCTTTAGCCTAAAACTAAATGTGACCCTTATGTACTTGAGCATGGTGATGAAGTGAAAATTGGAGAGACTGTACTGTCTTTTCACATCCACCCTGGCAGCGATACCTGTGATGGCTGTGAACCAGGACAGGTTCGAGCTCACCTTCGTCTTGATAAGAAAGATGAATCTTTTGGTATGTGAAGCATATTGTTATATGTGGGCATAATAACTTTTCTGTTTAATTCACTGGAGCGTTCTACAAAAGTATCAGCTACCAGCTTCGTATTTAATTGATATAATACTGTATTGAGATACATTTACATTTTAGTGAATATTATGTGAGATAAGTATTATCACGTGAGACTAAGAAATGACATGTATTTGAAATTTGAAACCTAGGCTAGTTACTTATGATTTTAGTTGATTTTTTTAAGCTGGTAGATTATGATTTTGGTTGATTTTTCTGTGCAGCAATTTAGTTGTGCTATTATAGCATTAGGTTGCTTTCTGACCCATAAGCTAATCATTAGCTATTTTTGCTAATAGAGTTTAATAGACTTTGGAAGCAGCACAGCAGTGATAGCTAAATGTCCTTCAAAAGGGTAATTGTGACATAATTATAGTAAAGATTGGTTTCCTTTTGACTTCTGTTTATGGATATGAAAAAGTCATCCATGGTTAAACTCTGTCATATAATAATATATAAAATAATAGGCTGGGGTAATAAGAGTTATTCGTTGATATGTTTGCTTTCTTTTTTTTTAATGATTTTACTTATTTGAGAGAGAGGGAGCTTGAGTGGGGGCAGGGGCAGAGGGAGAGGGAGAGGCAGACTCTCAGCTGAGCAGGGAGCCTGATGCAGGTCTTGATCCCAGGACTTGGGGATCATGACCTGAGCCGAAAGCAGATTCTTAACTGACTGAGCCGCCCAGGCACCCCAGTATGCTTGCTTTCCTACTTAGAGCTTCTGTTGCTATATCATCTGTATATATACATCATTATTTTCTATAATAACACTGTAAGAGGTTGCTGTCTTATTTAAATCCACTCATCAGAGGCTTTTAAATTTTAAATAGATACTTTGAACGAGTAAGAAGTAATTTTTTTTACATCAAGTTTTTCCCCCAAATACCAGCTATATGTGTTCATTGTATATTTTTTGTTTTCTGATACTAGATTATGAAAATGAGTATGGTACATTACACAGCAATGTGAATCTTGGATTCAGTGATTTTTTACATGCCTATATTCCTTTGGGAAATTAACAATATTTCTGCATTTGGAATTCTGTTATAATCATATCAAAAAATTAAGATGTTCAGTGTTCTTTTGTTATCTATACTGTAGCATTCCTATAGTCTTTGGGATTTGGTTTACTTTCCAAGTAGATTTATTTACCAAAATGCTGAAAGGACATCACCACAACCCAAGATTCCCTTATATTAATGTTTAGTTGAGCTTTTAGTTAATATGCAGATGGAATAGTATTAATTTTTTATTATTAAGTAACAATATTAATTTTGTATAAAATCTGTCAGACTTAGTATTTTTTTTTTTTAAACTAAACAACTTCTTCCTTTTAGTTGGTCCAACACTAAGTAAGGAGGAAAAAGAGTTGGAAAGGAGAAAAGAATTAAAGAAAATACGAGTAAAATATGGTTTGCAGGTAAGGATGTTAAATATTTTTACATTTATTATTTATGCATCTGGATTTGAGTAAAAATGTCTTTAGATATGCATAGTCCATTTTATATATAAAAATACAGCTATTTAGAATGATTTTGAGGTTTATGTAATTTGGTTACTGTTTACTTCAACAACTACTGAGGCTGTAGTAGAAAAATGATTATAATACCCAACATTTAAATAGCCATTTCTGGTTTTTAAAAAACTTGGATTAAGATGGTACCATTGAAGAACATTGTTTGAGTACTAGTACTGCCTGATTTCAAGACTTCCTATAAGCCACAGTAATTAAGACAGTATAATATTGGCATAAAGATGAATAGGTGAGGGGAACAGAATAATGAAATAAGAAATAGATTCACAGATAGATACATAGATGTGTGTGTGTGTGTGTGTGTGTGTGTGTGTATGTATGTGTATGTGTATGTATGATTTTCAACAAAGGTGTGAAGGCAGTTTGGTGCAGAAAGGATGGTCTTTCAACAAATGTACTGAAACACTTGGATAGCCATATGCAAAAGCAAACAAAATAACTTTGATCTGATACAATACATTAACAAAAGAAAGAACAAGAATCATACGATCCTCTCAATAGATGCAGAAAAAGCATTTGACAAAGTACAGCATCCTTTCTTGATCAAAACTCTTCAGAGTATAGGGATAGCGGGTACATACCTCAATATCATAAAAGCCATCTATGAAAAACCTACAGCGAATATCATTCTCAATGGGGAAAAGCTGTCAGGAACGCGTCAGGGATGTCCACTCTCACCACTGCTATTCAACATAGTATTAGAAGTCCTAGCCACAGCAATCAGACAACAAAAAGGCATCCAAATCGGCAAAGAGAAAGTCAAACTCTCACTCTTTGCAGATGATATGATACTGTATGTGGAAAACCCAAAAGACTCCACCCCAAAACTGCTAGAACTCATACAGGAATTCAGTAAAGTGGCAGGATATAAAATCAATGCACAGAACTCAATGGCATTCCTATACACCAACAACAAGACAGAAGAGACACAAATCAAGGAGTCGATCCCATTCACAATTGCACCCAAAACCATAAGATACCTAGGAATAAATTTAACCAAAGAGGCAAAGGATCTGTACTCAGAAAACTATAAAATACTCATGAAAGAAATTGAAGAAGACACAAAGAAATGGAAAAATGTTCCATGCTCATGGATTGGAAGAACACACATTGTGAAGATGTCAGTGCTACCTGGAGCAATCTACACATTCAATGCAATCCCCATCAAAATGCCATCCACTTTTTCAAAGAAATGGAACAAATAATCCTAAAATTTGTATGGAACCAGAAGAAACCCCGAATAGCCAGAGGAATGTTGAGAAAGAAAAGCAAAGCTGGCGGCATCACAGTTCTGGACTTCCAGCTCTATTACAAAGCTGTCATCATCAAGACAGTATGGTACTGGTGCAAAAACAGACACATAGATCAATGGAACAGAATCGGGAGCCCAGAAATGGACCCTCCACTCTATGGTCAACTCATCTTTGACAAAGCAGGAAAGAATGTCCAATGGCAAAAAGACAGTCTCTTCAACAAATGGTGTTGGGAAAATTGGACAGCCACATGCAGAAGAATGAAACTGGACCATTTCCTTACACCACACACAAAAATAGACTCCAAATGGTTGAAAGACCTAAACATGAGACAGGAGTCCATCAAAATCCTAAAGGAGAGCACAGGCAGCAACCTCTTCGACCTCAGCCGCAGCAACTTCTTCCTAGAAACATCGCCAAAGGCAGGGGAAGCAAGGGCAAAAATGAACTATTGGGATTTCATCAAGATAAAAAGCTTTTGCATAGCTAAAGAAACAGTCCACAAAACCAAAAGACAACCGACAGAATGGGAGAAAATATTTGCAAATGACAGATAAAGGGCTAGTATCCAAAATCTATAAAGAACTTATCCAACTCAACACCCAAACAACAAATGATCCAGTCAAGAAATGGGCAGAAGACGTGAACAGACATTTTTCCAAAGAAGACATCCAAATGGCCAACAGACACATGAAAAAGTGCTCAACATCGCTCGGCATCAGGGAAATCCAAATCAAAACCTTAATGAGATACCACCTCACACCTGTCAGAATGGCTAAAATTAACAAGTCAGGAAACGACAGATGTTGGCGGGGATGCGGAGAAAGGGGAACCCTCCTACACTGTTGGTGGGAATGCAAGCTGGTGCAACCACTCTGGAAAACAGTATGGAGGTTCCTCAAACAGTTGAAAATACCGCTACCATATGATCCAACAATTGCACTACTGGGTATTTACCCCGAAGATACAAATGTAGGGATCCGAAGGGGTATGTGCATCCCAATGTTTATAGCAGCAATGTCCACAATAGCCAAACTGTGGAAAGAGCCAAGATGCCCATCGACAGATGAATGGATAAAGAAGACGTGGCATATATACACAATGGAATATTATGCAGCCATCAAAAGGAATGAGATCTTGCCATTTGCAACGACGTGGCTAGAACTGGAGGGTGTTATGCTGAGTGAAATAAGTCAATCAGAGAAAGACATGTATCATATGACCTCACTGATATGAGGAATTCTTAATCTCAGGAAACAAACAACAAAGGTTGCTGGAGTGGTGGGGGATGGGAGGGATGGTGTGGCTGGGTGATAGACATTGGGGAGGGTATGTGCTATGGTGAGTGCTGTGAATTGTGCAAGACTGTTGAATCACAGATCTGTACTTCTGAAACAAATAATGCAAGATATGTTAAGAAAAAAGAAAAAGAAGAAGATAGCAGGAGGGGAAGAATGAAGGGGAGTAAGTCAGAGGGGGAGACAAACCATGAGAGACGATGGACTCTGAAAAACAAACTGAGGGTTCTAGAGGGGAGGAGGGTGGGGGGATGGGTTAGCCTGGTGATGGGTATTAACGAGGGCACATTCTGCGTGGAGCACTGGGTGTTATGCACAAACAATGAATCATGGATCACTACATCAAAAACTAATTATGTATGTTGATTAACATAACAATAAAAAATTAAAGAAAAAGAACTTTGATCTACACCTTGCAACATGTATAAAAATGAACTCAGAATGGATCATAAATATAAATTTAAAACTTTAAACTATGAAGTTTCTAGAAACAAACCTTTTTAAAAAAAAGTTAGGCAAAGGTTTTTTAAGTTACCTAACACCCAAAGCACAATCTGTAAAAGAGCAAATTAATAAATTGCACTTCCTCCAAAACTTCTGTTCTTCCAAGGACACTATTAAGAGAATGAAAAGATATGTGGCATCTGGGTGGCTCAGTTGGTTGAATATCTGACTCTTGACCTCAGCTCAGGTCTGACTCTTGACCTCGGCTCAGGTCTTGATCTCAGAGTGGTGAGTTCAGGCCCCTCTTTGGGCTCCACATTGGGCATGGAGTCTACTTAAAAAAAAAAGAGAATGAAAAGATAAGCCACAGACTCAGAAAGATATTTACAAATCCTTTATCTGATAAAAGCCATAGATCTTATATCTGTAATATATAACGAAATCCCAAAACTCAGTAAGAAAATTTATTTTTATTCATTTTTTATTTTTCAAATTTTTATTTAAATTCTAGTTAACATACAGTGTAATATTAGTTTCAGGAATAGAATTTAGTGATTAATCACTTATGTATAACACCCAGTGATCGCGATAACAAGTGCCCTCCTTAATACCTATCACCCATTTAGCCCATCCCCATCCTTCCATCAGCCCTTCCTTTGTTTTCTGTCGTTAGGAGTCTCATATGGTTTGCTTCCCGTCTCTTTTTTTTCTTTCCCATATAGTCATCTGTTTTGTTTCTTAAATTCCACATATGATTGAAATCATATGATACTTGTATTTCGCTGAATGACTGATTTCGCTTAGCATAATACTCTCATTCCATCGATGTCATTGCAAATGACAAGATTTCATTCTTTTTGATGGCTAATATTCCATTGTGTATATATATATATATATCACCTCTTTATCCATTCACCAGTTGATAGATATTTGGGCTCTTTCCATAGTTTGGCTATTGTTGATGATGCTGCTATAAACATTGGAGTGCATGTGCCCCTTTGAATCTGTATTTTTGTATCCTTTGGGTAAATACCTAGTAGTGCAATTGCTGGATCATCGGGTAGTTCTATCTTTAACTTTTTGAGGAACCTCCATACTGTTTTCCAGAGTGGTTGCACCAGCTTGCATTCCCACCAACAGTGTAGGAGGGTTCCCCTTTCTCCGCATCCCTGCCGACATCTGTCGTTTCCTGTGTTAATTTTAGCCATTCTGACAGGTGTGAGGTGGTATCTCTTGTTTTGATTTGTATTTGTCTGATATTGAGTGATGTTGCATCTTTTCATGTGTCTGTTAGCCATCTGGATGTTTTCTTTGGAAAACATGTCTATTCATGTCTTCTGCCCATTAATAAGAAAATAATTTACAAATGAGCAAAAGAGGGGCACCTGGGTGGCTCAGTTGGTTAAGCGTCTCCCTTCTGCTCAGGTCATGATCCCAAGGTCCTGGGATTGAGCCCTGCCTTGGGCTCCCTGCTTGGGGAGGATCCTGCTTCTTCCTCTCCATCTTCCCCTCTCCCCTGCTTGTGCTTTCTCTCTCTCTCTCAAGTAAATAAATAAAATCTTTAAATTAAAAAAGATGAGCAAAAAAGGGGCGCCTGGGTGGCTCAGATGGTTGAGTGTCTGCCTTTGGCTCAGGTCAGGATCCCAGGGTCCTGGGATCGAGCCCCGCATCGGGCTCCCTGTTCAGCAGTGAGTCTGTTTCTCCCTCTGCCCCTCAACCTGCTTGTGCTTGCTCGCTCTCTTCCTCTCTCTGAAATAAATAAAATCTTAAAGAGATTTTGAGAGGGAGAGAGAGAGAATGAGCAAGGAGGAGGGGCACAAGGAGAGAGAGAGAAGCAGACTCCCTGCTGAGCAGGGAGCCCGATGTGAGGGGATCATGAGTCCTGGGATCGGGACCTGAGCCCAAGGCAGACACTTACCAGCTGAGGCATCCAGACTCCCCAATAAATAAAATCTTAAAAAAAATAATAAAAGTGGGCAAAAGATTTGAATAGACACTTCACCAATGCAGATGTACAGATGGCAGCTAAACACATGAAAAGATGTCTACTATTACTGGGAAGTTGCAAATTAAAACTAGGTAAAAAGACTATCCACACCAAGTGTTGGTAGGCATGTGGAGAGGCTGGAGTTCGCATACACTGCTGGTGAGAATATAAAGTGGCGCAATTGCTTTGGAAGATAGTTTCCTTAAAAGTTAAATGTATGCCTACCATGTGATTCACCGTTCTATTCCAAGGTATTTACCCAAGGTATTTGGGTATTTGGAAATACCCAAAATTCCAAGGTATTTACCATTTCAAGAGAAATGAAAGTATATGTTCATACAAAGACATAAACAAATGTTCATGATGTTTTTTTTCTTTCTTTTGAAAACCTTTTTTAAAAATTTTTATTTTTTATTACCAAAGTATAGTTGACATACAATGTTATATCACTTTCACATGGGAAGCATAGTGATTTGACAGTTATATCTGTTACATGATACTTAACCACAATAAGTGGAGTTACCATCTGTCACCTATATATAATGTTACTAAAATATTATTAACTATATTCCCTATGTTGTACTTTTCACCTCTATGACTTATTTTATGACTGGAAATTTGTACCTCTTAAACCCCTTCACCTATTATGCCCATCCTCCATTTCCCTACCCCTCTAGCAACCACAAGCTTGTTCTGTGTATTCATGGGGAGTTTGTTGCTGGTTTTTGTTTGTTTTGTCTTTTAGATTCTATATATAAGTGAAATTATGTTGCATTTGTCATTCTCTTGACTTAATTTTACTTAGCATACTAACTTCTAGGTCCATCCATATTGTCACAAAGGACAAGATCTCATTTTTTATGGCTGAGTAATATTCCAGTGTGTGTGTGTGTGTGTGTGTGTGTGTGTGTGTGTGTGTGTGTGTACACCACATCTCTATCCAGTCATCTCTTGATGGACACTAGGGCTGCTTCCATGTCACAGCTATTGTAAATAATGCTGCAGTAAACGTAGGGGTGCTTATATCTTTTCAAATTAGTGTTTTCATTTTCTTTGGGCAAATACACAGTAGTGGAATTTCTGGATCCTATGGTACTTCCATTTTTAATTTTTTGAGGAACCTCCATCCTGTTTTCCACAGTAGTTGCACTAATTTACATTCCAACCAACAGTGCATGAGGATTCCTTTTCTCCACATTCTCACCAACACTTATTATTTCTTGTCTTTTGCATACTACCCATTCTTATCTGTGTGAAGTGGTATTTCATTGTAGTATTAGCAGCTTTTCTTCTAGTAACCAGAAATAGGAAGAGACTCGTGTATTTATCATGAATGGATAAACAAATTATGGTATATCTATATAGTCAGATACTCTTTAGCAATAAAAAAACTTGAGCTGTTGATACAGGCTGCTATATGGATGAATCTCAGTTATGCTGAGAGAAAGAAGCCAGACAACAAGAGTATGTACTGTATACATACATCATAAAATTCTGGGAGAGCAAACTAACATATCATGACAGAAAGATTAGTGGTTGCCTGGATACAAGAGAGGAAGGAGATGAGGGAGGCTCTGTAGGGATGGATTACAAAAGATAAGGATACTTTTTTGTGGGAGATGGATATATTTATTATCTTGATTGTGGTGATGGTTTCATAGGTGTATACAAATCACAAAAGTATCTAATTGTATGCTTTATGTGTAATTTATGGTATGTTAATTATAATTAATTATCACAATAACATTTTAAAAAACATTACCATTTAATCCTATCAGTAGACCAGGAAGGTAGTTAGTATTTGTTTACATTTGAGAATCTAAGCTAAGGGTCACTCAGCTGTTAAATGACAGACTTAGATATGGAATCTAGGTCTTTTTTTTTTTTAATATTTATTTATTAAGTACTGTCTATACTAAATGTGAAACTTGACCTCATGACCCCGGGATCAAGAGTTGCACGCTTCTCTGACTGAGCCAGCCAGATGCCCCTGGAATCTAGGGCTTAAGTGGATTTGTCCAGTGGTTTTTTAAACTTCATGAGATGTGGGAAAAAATGCTGCCAGAATAACATATTTTTCTGCAAAATTGTGTTTTTTGTTGTTACTTTCATACTACAAGAAATCGTAATAGAAAAAATGTTGAGAGGCTAATTTGGGAGGAAAATAGAAGATAATAAGGAAAGAATAAAATATTTTCTTAGAAGTTTTAACTATTGTCTTCTGGGGAAAACCCATTAGCATTGGTGGTTCTATATTTTTCTTCTCTTTAAAATCAAAATTAAGTAAAAATTTCTGTGGTACTTTCCTTGAATTATATTAGCATTTCCTAGCATCTTTCAGGGAACATCGTAATTTATATAAAGATCAACAAGTCGTAACAAAGGGAAAGAGAAGCCTTCTCTGAAGCTAAATTGACTACCTCTTCTTTTAAAAGTACCACTGCTATGTCTTGTGCATACTTTAAAAAAAAATTTTTTTTTAAAGATTTTAAAAATTTATTTGACAGAGACACAGCGAGAGAGGGAACACAAGCAGGGAGGGAGTGGGAGAGGGAGAAGCAGGCTTCCCATGGAGCAGGGAGCCCGAAGTGGGGCTCGATCCCAGGACCCTGGGATCATGACCTGAGCTGAAGGCAGACGCTTAATGACTGAGCCACCCAGGGGCCCATCTTGTGCATACTTTTATTGTTGAGCCAGTCAGACAGTAGCGTGCTGAAGATCTGATGTGTCTGCCTTCTGGGATTACAAGTTTCTTTGCATACCACACTTTTTATTCAGTAAATATTTCTTGAGTGGCTGACTAATCATGTAAATGGAGCTATATTGAAGCAAAAAGCTATTATAATTGCCACAGCAAAAGAGTACCTGCTCTTTTCCATTTTTTAAACACTTTCTACATTTTTCCCTCCTACGGAATAACACCAAACTATTTTAGGTCTGTTGGAACTTTCAGTCCCTTAGAGAAAAAGAGAAGTCGATTTTTTGCCAAACCCAGGGGTTCTACATATTTCTTTGAATACTGGCAGTTCATGAGAATATGAGTACACAGTATTAAGTCAAAATGTACTATATTTTCACTCTATTCTCTTACGATTGCATATTACAATTCATATATGATTTAGATTATCTTCTGTATGGAGTTTATGTTCTACAACTTGAAATAATATAAACATTTTAAAGGAGAATGAAAATAGCATACTCTACGTAATTGTCTTAATTTATATCATGGCCTCTTCTAATTTGTTGTTTTAATAGAGACTGCATTGAACCGTGTTTCCCAAGTAAAGCAAATATACAGACAGTACGTTTTTATGTATCAGTTTTGTTTTCTTCAATGAATATTTCATGTTTATAAAGAATACAGACTATGAAGATGAAAAGGCATTGAAGAATCCAAAATACAAAGATAGAGCTGGAAAACGGAGGGAGCAGATTGGAAGTGAAGGGACTTTCCAAAGAGATGATGCTCCTGCATCTGTTCATTCGTGAGTACTAAGTTTTAATTGCTCGAAACATTGTTTGTATTGTAATCACAGTCGTAGAGTAATATGACTTATAGGACTATATATACTGGTAATTAGTCTTTAAAGGAATGGTTCTAACATGGAAATACTGTCTCTGTTTACATTTTCTTTCAGTATTAGAATTCCATTCCCTAGAAAATTACTTAGCATATATGAAAGTACAAATACTTACATACATGCACATAGCTAACATTCTAGCCACCCACTTTAGTGAACTTTTTTTTTTTTTTAGAGAGTGCATGTGAGTTGGGGGAGGGAGGGGCAGAGGGCAAGGGAGGTAGAGAATCTCAAGCAGGCTCCACGCTCAGCGCAGAGCCCAGTGCGGGGCTCGATCTCGCAATGCTGAGATCATGACTTGAGCTGAAATCAAGAGCCGGACACTTAATTGACTGGGCCACCCAGGGGCCCCTGAGTGAACATATTTTTATATACTAGATATCTGAAAGTTTGGGTTAGTAAGAAATTAGTATGGACTGGGTTTTTTTGGGGGGGGGCTGTTATTTTTTATAATTACTTCAGTACTCACCTACGTTTGTTCTTGTTGACTCTGGAATACTATTTTTCTTATTTTTCAGTTTTTTTCTTTTGGTAAAGTAGCACTGATAACATGAAAAATGTAATTTTGTGGCCCGTATGATATGACCATATTTCTTCAATTAATCATATATTAATTACATTTTTTTTCCTCAGAATATAAATTCGGAGTTTAGTTAGAATTTAAATCTTTTGTGTAAGACTGACAACTAACCATAAACTTTGATTAAATGTATTTTATTAATTCTAAGATACACTACTTGGATAGAGTTTTAGTTACATATGACAGCAGTGTTTTCTCAAAGGTACATAAAACAACAATGGATCTTGCATCCATCAGCTTTGATGAAATACAGCATTATGAATTAGATATACTAAGCAACATGACAAGTTTTTTTAAAGTTTAAATTTTGATGTAATAGCTGGAAAATATGAAGATTGCATTAGAGTTAAATTAGAAGGCAGAAATAAAAAATGAAATACATTGGTCTGCCATTGCTTGGTTTATTGTTATTGAGGAGCTAATTTAACATATTTTGTAGAACTGAAAGTACAGTGTGATGGAACATAAAATCAAAATATCCTTAAACTAGCAGAACATAAAATCATAGAATAAAATGCAAATAGTGAGAGTTTTTGTTTAATTTTACTTTTATTTTTCTGTTGATGTACACTTACATACAAATATAAGTATTGCTATCAATTGTATATCATAAGATTAACACATTGTAGAGTATACGTTTCTTGATCAAGAAATAGAAAGTGATAGTAACTCCCAGAAACCTACCCTCTCCTAGTGCCCCCCTCTCGATCACTATTCCTGTTTCCTCCGTAAAGGCAACCACTTTCCTGACTTCTAGTAGGAACAGATTAATTTCACTTGTTTTTGAATTTTAAGTAAATGGAATAATTTAGTATTTATTTTGTCTATATTTGTCTATATTCTTTTTGTCCAACATTATTTTGTTAGGTATATTTTATTTTCAGTGCTGTATAATATTCTCTTACATGAATATGCCACAATTTATACATTTTACCATTGATCTCTGGATTATTTCCAACTTATAGTTATTATTAAATTTGCTGCAGAAACATTCTTCTACATTTTTTTGTGTGTGCACCATGTGTGTGCTTTTCTGTTTAGTATATATAGGACAATTTATGTATCTTAACTGTATTAGGTAGGTCAAACAGTTTTCTGTAGTATTTGTACCAGTTACTTTTAATTTATTAGTTTATTATAAATGTGATCTACATGGTCTTTTCGAAATCAACTATCTTAATTTCCTTTAAAGTGAGATTACTGATAGCAACAAAGGTCGGAAGATGCTGGAGAAGATGGGTTGGAAAAAAGGAGAGGGCCTAGGGAAGGACGGTGGAGGAATGAAAATTCCGGTAAGACGTGTTTTCTTTCATTCTTTATTCTTATAGCAGATGTATTTACTGTGTACCTACTGTGTACCTTAGTGCCCGGAGTATAGTATCAAGCACAAATAGACATGATTACTGTCTTTGTGGCATTCACAATTACCATATATATATGCATTGTTTTGTGTTTTTTTTTTTAAGATTTATTCATTTATTTAAGAGCGAGAGCACAAGCAGGGAGAGGGACAGAGGGAGAGGAAGAGAGAGAATCTCAAGCAGACTTCCCCTGAGTGTAGAGCCCCATACAGGGGCTCGATCTCACGACCCTGAGGTCACAACCTGAGCTGAAATCAAGAGTCAGACGCTTAACCTACTGAGCCATCCAGGTGCCCCCACAGTGTTACTTTACAAACAGGCAGATCCTGTATTTGTTTTAGATTTAAGAATCAGGTCATGTAACAAGCAGTAGAGGGAATAATGTCTGGAAAACAGGGCTGGTTAATTCTGGTTAATTCTGGTTAATTCTGCAGTCCCCATGGTTCATCAGAGGTTTAGATTATCTTTTACAAAAACCTTACAAAGTAACATGATTAAAGAACTTTTGATAGTTACCTGGCACTTAAGGAAATGATGGATGAGTGTGAGGTTTAATGTGAATTTTCTTACTTATTGAGGTACAATGAGAAGAACATGGGTTTTATAGTCAAACCTATAAAATAGAATTATTTTGTTAGAATAGGTGCTCTATCACTTACTAGTTGTGTGACTTGGGCAGGTTTGGACTTCAGTTTTCATATGTAAAAATGGGGATTATAAGAACTGTTTTCTAAGGGGTATCATGAAGATAAGGCCTCTAGTATGGTGCCCAACATACAGTAGGTACTCAGTAACTGGTAGCTTTTAATAGTTCTCAAAATAATCAGAAGTCCTCCCCCTCATTTTATGAAAATAATCAAATTCTCTTTATGGCTTTTTTTTTTCTTTTTTTAAAGATTGACTGATTTTAGAGAGAGCGTGAGCGCAGAGCCTGATGCCAGGCTCGATCCCACAACCTTGAGATCATGACCTGAGCCAAAACCAGGAGTGGGTCGCTAAACCAACTGAGCTACCCAGGCACCCCTGTCTTTATGACTCTTAGTGTTTAATCTACTCTTTCACTTTCTTAGGCAAGGCTAGAGTAGCAGTAGGTTTAAGTATGTCCATTGCCTTTTCTTCTGCTTAGAGTGGGACAGCAGCCTTTGCAGCATCTTGGTGAAATTTGGTGGCCACTCTTTAAGGAGCACTCTTGTTTTCTATATGCAGTCAGCTGTAGTTACTGATAGGGAAGACAACATAGAAGAATTACTTTAAGTTCTGTGTATAATCATGTGTGCATTCCTGCATGTATTTGATAGATTTGACAGGTTTTCTTTCGCATCAATCTTTGTAAATCAAAGAATTAAAGTACCAAGTTGGGTACAGCAAATTTCAATGTATTTAGACTCCATAGTAAGTCCTCTGCTCAACTTTTGGTAACAGATCCAGCTTCAGCTTCGGCGAACACATGCAGGCTTGGGGACAGGCAAACCATCCTCGATTGAAGATGTTCACCTTCTCCAAAACAAGAGCAAAAAGAACTGGGAGAAAGCACGAGAGAGGTTTGCTGAAAACTTCCCAGAAACTAAATCTCAAAAAGATGTGCCAGGAACCGTCCCTTGGGTCAAAGGGACCATAGAGTGAAGGTTAGTCCTAGAACACAATTCACGCTGTTTTTTAAAAAAGAGTTTGGAAACTCTTATTTTATTGCAGAACTTTTCCCTCCAAAAGAGTCCATGGCATGAGGGAACTGTATCACAATTTACCCCTCGTGATTCAGAAATGTGTAATAAACTGTGGTTTGCAGCTTTTAAAAAAAACATTTTTTAAAAAACTAATAAATAGTAATTGAATTAGGTTATGCTGTGAGCAGACTAAAGTTCACAGGGCACGGCTGAGCTTATCGAACTTTGTTATTTTATCTTGTCATTTATAAGACCCATTTATGCAAAATTCATATAACCAGTAATTTAAATGTACGTTTGTCCTTGTCTCCATATATTCATTACTATAAGATATACAACAAGAGAAACATCAAAAGTTTATAAAAACAAGTCTGATTATATGCATCCTTGTTCATGTCCTTTAGAACTTAGATAAAAAATGTTGAGAACACAGGGATAGTGGTGCATAAATTTTATTATTCTTAAAATATTCTAAGTAATAGTATTGAAGAACTAATGAACAGGTGATATGTTATAGAAAACTAGTCTTTCATTGTTTTCTTCTGTGAAGAATTTGTTGATTTGTACTATATATTAAGCATTTACATTTGGTTTGTTTTATAGCTGAAATATTTAGATATGAGCAATTGAGTACAGTATTGAATATTCCATGTGCTGGTATTTATAGTTTTGATAAATCCCATTGCTGGCAATGGAGTTGTGCCAGAGAAATCTGATTTCTACTGCAAAAGGAATGCCTAGCCAAGGCCTCAAACACAAGATATTTATTGAAAATGTCTTCAAATGCAATAAAAACATTATAACATCCAAAAGAGTGATTCCTTGAACCAATGTTTTAAACATATAGGTCTGCTTTGAACTCAGGACCAGCCAGAATTTTCCTCTTTAAATTGGCAGAGCAGGAACAACAGGATAACTTGAAGTATCGGAGATAACTGCAGTGCAGCTTTCCGAGTACAGATGTCACTGCTCTGCCGGCTATCAGTGTTCTTTTCCTTTCTGTTCAACTTTTCTCTCGGCTTTTTGCTGGGAAATTATGCTGGAACTGGCTATTTTCTGGCAGTGAATATAAGCTATAGCTCCCTCATCTACTATAAAGAAATGTCCTCAAGATTTAGAAATGGGAAAAGAAAATTCTGAAAAAAATTATACAATGGGGAAGATAATTCAGAAAGAAGGGCTACTTGATGGAATTTGTACTCTGAATGGAAGAGTACTTAAGAAGAAAAGGGGGTGGTGGGGAAAGAAAAATAAATAAAGTACTGAAGATGAGACATATGACCAAACAAATTGTCAAGACCCCCTAGGTCTAAGCTGGGATCATCAGAGGTCCTGTAACTCCAAATCTGCAAAAAGTAATTTTCTGTATGCTTCATAGCCACCTACACACCCTGACACTTACATATGTACATTAAACTTGAAGGCAACAGGAGTGTTCTGCATTCTTTTTTCTAAAATAGAAAAAAATTATTTAAATGTGGTTCTGGTACTGGTTCCCTGTATATAGGTAATAATATAGGAGGCCCAAATTAGAATTGTGGTAGATTTCACTCACTGAGTAAGTATACAACTGTGTATACAGTATTTCCCATTTTTATTATTAGATTGTGGAAGACTTTTTTCATTGCTTTCTTTTGTTAAGAAAATGGAGACTTGAAAATGGTGATAAAAATCGAAATATGTGTGATATTTGCGTTATTGAAACCCTTTGCAGATCTAAAGTCTCAGGGCTAAAATACTATATGGTGGTTAAAGGACTGAATAATGTCTGGGTCTATTTCCATTTGTGAAATAAGAATAATATTTATCTTTCATGTCTTTGGAATAGAAAATGAGAAGATGTATATAAAAGTACTTTGTAAACTGTAAAAGGAGTACGGAGATGTGAGCTTCTATTTGTTTGGAAGCAAAGATGTGAATTATGTACAATTTGGATTACATATAAAATTGTTTTGTGTCTCATATTTTAAATTATTTATTCACACAGTATAAATTTATTGTAGTAGTCTTTAAGGGTTTATTTATTTATTTATTAAAGATTTTATTTATTTATTTGACAGAGAGATAGAGAGCACAAGTAGGCAGAGAGGCAGGCAGAGGGAGAGGGAGAAGCAGGCTCTCCGCTGAGCAGGGAGCCCAGTGCGGGGCTCGATCCCAGGACCCTGGGATCATGACCTGAGCCGAAGGCAGCCGTTTAACCAACTGAGCCACCCAGGCGCCCCTAAGGGTTTATTTTTTATTTTATTTTTTTTAAGATTTTATTTATTTATTTGAGAGAGAGACGGAGCATGAGCATGAGCAAGGCGGAGGAGGGAGAGGGAGAAGCAGAATCCCGCGGAGCAGGGAGCCCGATGCGGGGCTCGATCCCAGGACCCTGGGATCATGACCTGAGCTGAAGGCAGACGCTTAACTGACTGAGCCACCCAGGCGCCACCCCCTTTTTCTAAAGATTTTATTTATTTATTTGAAATAGAGACAGAGCATGATAAAAGCTTACTCACAAACTCTCATAGCAAACTTCTCCTTAGGGTCATTAACCAGAATCTGATAACATGACTACCCATAGTTGCAAGGGAAGTTGAAAAGGTGGGCAGCAGGATGGTCTCACTTGGCTTAAGCCAATCATGAACCATCACCTGCGGCTGAACATGTTGCTGTTGAAACAAAATCAGATTTCAGTAAATAAGGCGGAAAGGGGACAGTGGATATTGAATGGACAGGTAACAGGCTGCCAGATAACTCAGCTATCCATCAGTGGGAATTCTGTGGGGCTGTTAAATTGTTTTGCAGTTCTACTATGTAATACTTTGAAGCATTCAAATGCATACATTAGAATTATCTATACCCTGATAAAGAATATTCTCACTACATTACTGACTTGAAAAAGCAGATTGTAGAAAGGTATATATAGCCTGATCTCATTTTTAAAAAAATATAAGGGTACACGTCAAATTGTTAATACTAATTGCCAAAGAAGTGAGCAGACTTTCACATTTTATTATTTCTGTATGTGACCTTTTTTTTTTTAAGATTTTATTTATTTATTTGACAGAGAGGGACACAGCGAGAGAGGGAGCACAAGCAGGGGGAGTGGGAGAGGGAGAAGCAGACTTCCTGCCGAGCAGGGAGCCGGATGTGGGGCTCGATCTCAGAACCTTGGGATCATGACCTGAGCCGAAGGCAGACACTTAACGACTGAGCCACCCAGGCGCCCCATTTGTATGTGACCTTTAAGCAGGTATAATTGTGCACTTACCTATGGGTACTCATACACATTTATAATGGGTAGGAATACAACACTTGGAAGTGGAGAGGCCTTCAGTGCTCAACCCCAGGCATCTTCCTCACTCTTGTGTGCCACATTTCATTTACCATTTATATACCCATGACTTCAGGTTGTCTTAGCTAGGAAACATCTCCAACTCAGTCACCTTAAGTGCAGTGTTTAAGACTGAATCCATAGTCTTCTCCAAACCTGGTCTTTTCCAGTTTGTTCTCTTGGCTGGCAGCACCATCTATCCAGTTGTGTAAGCTAGAATCAAGGAGTCAGCCTCTATTTCGTACACTCACCCTCCATCCCCTCCACCAGTTTCCCGTATAGTAAATCAGTTCTCTGTCAACACCCACCTGGACTGTGCTACTAACTTCCCGGCTGGTCTCCCTGCAGTCACCCTGTCCTCCCTCCAGTGCATCCTCCACACTGCAGACACAGTGTTTTCACAGCTCCTCTTTCATCATCTCCTATTTAAATCCTCCTGTGCACAGCTTCCCATTACTCTGAGGACAGAAAACAAACTCCTGGCTCATAACACCCTCCCTGGTCTAGCCACCGCCAGCTTTTGCCGTCCGGTGTTACATCACCCCCACTTGCTGCCAGGCTGGCCTTTTTTTCAGTTCCTCAAACATACCACACCCTCTCTTACTCTAGGGCCGCTGATCTTCTGTTATGTCTGCATTGCTCTTCCTGTACCCTTTTACCTAGGTAACTCTGACATTTAGATCTCTGCTAATTGATTCTCTTCAGGGATGCGTCCCTTGTCCCCTAGACAGACTGATTGTCTTCGATAAATGTTCTTGGAAATCCATATTTGTTTCATTTAGATTGTTTACTTTGCGTCACAGATATTAATGTGATTAGTATAGCATTTGTCTGTCTCTAGTCTTAAGTGCCATGTGGGCAAGACCTTGGTTTTTCTCTCAACTGTATTCCCAGTGCCTAGCACCATGACTGGCTTATAGCTTTTTTACAGGCAAGCAGTGAAAGAGCAAGATGGGTTTGGGGAATTGCAAGTGGCTTGATACAGATAGGGTTTTGTGTGACTGAGGAAACATGGAAGGAACTGAGGCTACACAGAGGGTGTGAAGCAATGGCTTTCAAACCATTTTGACCATGATCCATGTTAAGAAATACAGTTTATATCATGGCTCAGAACATAAGTGTGTTGTATGTGCATTTATAACAGGTTTTATTTTTTTAAAGATTTTATTTATTATTAGAGAGTAGGAAGAGGAGCAGAGGGAGGGGGACAAGAGACTCCACGCTCAGCGTGGAGTTCGACATGGGGTTCAATCCCAGGACCCTGAGATCATGACCTGAGCCAAAATCAAGAGTCAGTTGCTTAACGGACTGAGCTACCCAGGCACCCCTGTAACAGTTTTTATATACCAATACTTAGCTGTTAGTTCACATAATGTACTCTTTATTTTTGTTTTCCAAATCACTGATTCCAACCACTAAATTGATTTCATAATCCACTGATGGGTTGTGTCCTACAATTAGAAACACCCAGATTCAAATGGTTTGACAGAACCTATGGCTTTGCCTTAGAGGAGCTGCAGGTAAGAGTGTGTGTGTGTGCGTGTGCGTGTGTGTGTGTGTGTGCGCGCATGCGTGTGTGTGAAAGTGATGAGGGTGGGAAGGGGTTACGATGCCAAACCGTGACTCCAGTTCTCATGCTATTACTAGAATTGGTCTACATTAATTTGGCTTCCAGATAGATTTCATATAAAGAGTTTCACTGCTTAAAGAGGAGCTGGTGGGGAGGGGAACTGAACCACATACCTGTAGCTATAATACTGTGTTCAGAAATTTGGATTGGGGCTCCTGGTTGGCTCAGTCGGTAGAGCATATAACTCTTGGTCTCGGGATTGTGAGTTCAAGCCCTACATTGGGTGTGGAGCCTAGTTTAGAAAAACAATAATAAAAAAAGAAATTTGGATTTTTATCTCTTTCACAGTAAGGAATTCCTGAAGGATTTTAGGCAGTGAAATGTTCTCAGTACATTGCTTTATATAGCAAAATAACTGGCTGATTGAAGAGGGGCAGAGTGGAGGCTAACAGACCTCCTGGAGGGCTTTTTCCGTCTATCTAATACTTACTGAGCACCCATCAGGAGCTGTACAGACCTGTGAAGGCAGGGACCTTTTTGGTCTTACTGTTGTATCTTCAGTACCTGTCACAGCGCTGAATGTTTAGGAGCATGTGTTGATCGGATGGGTGGAACACACATTTGTGGCATGTCAGACACTCTGCTAAGCATTTAACATACATTATCTTTATTCCTGCTGGTATTTTATGAATTAGAAAACTGAGGTTTAGAGAGGTTTTTCTTTTGCTCAAAATCAAAAAGTCTCTGTGGCACAGTGGCAGGGCTGGGGTTTAAATCTTGATTCTTTTCATCCCAGTGCACAGAGCACAGGCTAAGGAGTCTGGCTGATTTGGATTTGCCTTATAGCTCTACCACTCCTGAGCTGAACGATGTTTAAAAATTTATTTAAACTTCCATACTTTACTGTCTTCATGCAGCTATTGGGAAGTTTTGTTTTTTTTTTTTAAGGATTTTATTTATTTATTTGACAGAGACAGCGAGAGCGGGAACAGAAGCAGGGGGAGGGGGAGAGGGAGAAGCAGGCCTCCCGCGGAGCAGGGAGCCCAATGCGGGGCTCGATCCCAGGACCCTGGGATCATGACCTGAGCCGAAGGCAGACGCTAAACGACTGAGCCACCAAGGCGCCCCTACTGGGAAGTTTAAATGAGATAAGGCCTATGTGGTACTGAACAGTGTCCGGTGCATAATAAGCCCTCAAATATTAGCAGTTATTAGTGTTATTATGCCATGCTACCAATAGCAAGGTCACAGTTGTAGGAGAAGCAGCCTGGAGTGGGTATGGTGGTTATTGAAGTCAGAGGAAAGGTGAAGGGTGGGGTGAGTAAGTGGATGTGTCATCTTCATTCCTTCAGGTGATGATAGGAGGTACACTTAAACAAGTACTGCAGAATGAGCAGGAGACTAGTAGATGATAGTGAGAAAGGGTAGAAGGGTCTTGTTAGGTGCCTTTGAGGTCCTCCTCAAAGAAGGGGTGGATTCTGCATGAAATGAAGCCATCTGGAGAAGGTGATAGGGACATCCAGCAGGCCCACCCTGGCTCTTAGTACACTGTAGGAGCAGGAGAACTGTAGGGAGAACTGCAAAAGGGACTAGATTTCAGGTGGTAAAATCTTCGAACAGCGTGCATTCATTCAGCAGATAGCCTTGAGGAACTTGAAGTCCAGGCACTATGCTAGGCACTCAGGATACAGTGATCAATGGGACAAGACTCCCTGTCATCTTATATGTATTTTTAGATAGTATTTGTAGAATGTAAAGGCCAAGTAGTCACATGAAGGTCTTGATAGTCCAGAGTATTAATCCAAAGCAGTTTCTGTTCATTTCAAAGTTTTTGCCAAAAGCCAAAGCTCTCGGGATGGAGGGGGAAGGAGCAGTTTGTTTTTCAAATGTTTTCAGGTCTGCCCCTAAACCAGACCTTTTTAGGGCAATCTTAGAAACTCTACCTTCAGAAAATGTTAAGTCTGGGTTTCGGATGTATAGACAAGAGTAAAACCTTACTGAGGCTGCAGCCCCTCATTCAATTATGTATCTCCTCTAGTTACCTGTGCACAGTAGTGACTCTGCCAGCTCAAA